GTAAGGCACTTGTTACTAGAAGCGATGCACTTGTTCCTAATAGCTTCCTACCCCCCCCCCAAGCGCGCGCGCGCGAAAAGGTCCTAGTAGATTCCTGTTGCTAGTAATTACAAGTGCCTCGCTAGTAGTAACAAGTGCCTTACTGGTAGTAACAAGAAGCTATTATTTTAACTTTAATTCTAATTGATACTAATAGCGTGGCACTTGTTACTGGAAGCGAGGCACTTGTTACTAGTAGCTTCTTGTTACTAGTAGTATGGCCAGGAGCCTCTAGTAGCGTTCTGGTTCCTAGTAGCAATGCCCTTTGTTACTAGTAGCTTCTTGTTACTACTAGTAAGGCACTTGTTACTAGAAGCGATGCACTTGTTCCTAATAGCTTCCTACCCCCCCCCGCGCGCGCGCGCGCGAAAAGAGCCTAGTAGATTTCTGTTTCTAGTAATTACAAGTGCCTCGCTAGTAGTAACAAGTGCCTTACTGGTAGTAACAGGAAGCTATTATTTTAACTTTAATTCTAATGGTTACTAATAGCGTGGCACTTGTTACTAGAAGCGAGGCACTTGTTCCTAATAGCTTCCTACCCCCCCCCCCGCGCGCGCGCACGGGCGCGAACAGGTCCTAGTAGATTCCTGTTGCTAGTAATTACAAGTGCCTCGCTAGTAGTAACAAGTGCCTTACTGGTAGTAACAAGAAGCTATTATTTTAACTTTAATTCTAATTGTTACTAATAGCGTGGCACTTGTTACTAGAAGCGAGGCACTTGTTCCTAATAGCTTCCTACCCCCCCCCGCGCGCGCGCGCTCGCCTCGCGCGAAAAGGTCGTAGATTCCTGTTGCTAGTAATTACAAGTGCCTCGCTAGTAGTAACAAGTGCCTTACTGGTAGTAACAAGAAGCTAATAATCAGAATTCTAATTAAATTCTTATTGTTACTAATAGCGTGGCACTTGTTACTAGAAGCGATGCACTTGTTACTAGTAGCTTCTTGTTACTAGTAGTATGGCCAGGAGCCTCTAGTAGCGTTCTGGTTCCTAGTAGCGATGCCCTTTGTTACTAGTAGCTTCTTGTTACTACTAGTAAGGCACTTGTTACTAGAAGTGAGGCACTTGTTCCTAATAGCTTCTTTGCTCCTAGTTTGCGTCCTTTCGACCCGAGGAGCGTCTTCAATTCCGAGTCCTTGGTGATGAGCTCCACGCCTCGACGCGTCTGAACGGCCATTCCCCCAAGTTGGTGACCTAATGCCCGAGGGTCCAAGACCAGGATATCGTTTGGCAATGTTTGGCCTAATAGCTTCTTGTTACTACTAGTAAGGCACCTGTTACTACTAGCGTGGCACTTGTTACTAATAGCTTCTTGTTGCTAATGGCCATTGCTTCTACCTTTAAACTTGAATCGAATGAGATTTGGACAAGGAGCTTGCACCTGTCCCCGGCTTCTTCTGTGCTCACAGTAGTCTGAACACATTGGGAGCTAAGGACCTTCCCACGTTGCCCAAGATCAACAGTCGGTCTCTTCTGCCTAAGCAAGCGAAGATGTACAGCGTCAGCAGGAGAATGAAGAAGGTTGACAGCATGGCATTGCCTCGTGGCTTCTGGTGCTTCAGTGATTGACTGGCCGAATAGGACCGATGTCAAAGAGCTAAAGTTTCAAGCACAAGGACTGCTTCTTTGGAATAAATGGTGCGTGAGCTTGCCTGCGTCTCAAGTAGTAACTACTGGATCGATTAGTGGCTACCATTCTTACTTGGCTATACTTTGAGTCCATCCCATTACCAGCAACAGTGGATGATGGTTCGTAAAGGCCTTTCTCTAAAATCGTGATGTTCTTGTTTACCCTTCCTGTTACAGGTAAGAGTTCGGACAGACCCCAGCTATACTTATAAGCTTACTTTATGCCCTTATCAATGCTCCTAGTAGCGTCCCTGCCACCCCCGCGCGCGCGAAAAGGTCCTAGTAGCTGCTGGATCCATTTCTAATAAAATTTAGACTAATTTTCTAATTTCAATTTCTATTGAACTCTTGTTTATAGTAGCTTCTTGTTGCTAGTAAGGCCAGGAGCCCCGATCGTAGCGATGCCCTTTGCTCCGAGTCGCCGGAGGTCAACAAGCCGTAGACCAAGCGCCAGGCGGTGCGGAAGACGTGGAGCATTCGAATCGCCTCGATCCACAGCGGGACCGGAACGGGATGGACACGAATGGACCGAAAACAACATAGGAAAACAAAATGGAACAGAAAACCATTTCAACTTCACAACCTCTTCGTTCTCGTTTGCCCTTTTTCTTTCTACCTCTTGACTCTTAGCCTTTTGTATCACCAACTTGGACCAAGCTTTTCAGAATCCTTGAGTTCCGACCTTCTTCCCAAGCGTGAAACGCACCTCACCAGTCGGAGAGACCACCCCACTCCATTGGTCTCCAAGGAGCCCTCACTAAGCGCAAGAGTCGTAAGGATCGCACCACCAAGATCTTTCCGAAGGCATTCTCGCCTCTGCCGTGATCGGTGGCGCTGCCAAACCGAAGAGTGCCGTGACTTGGGCCCTCACCGAACTCCGAACTCCGAACTTCCACCGAAACCTTCGAGTATGTGGTCTGCACGCAAGACACACAATCCGGACTCTTCGATCAGTCAAGAAGTGGTTGGATTCGTGCATCGCTTCTAATAACAAGTGCCTTACTAGTAGTAACAAGAAGCTACTAGGAACAAGTGCATCGCTACTAGGAGCAAGTTCAACCAGCGCCTTCGCTTGCCACAATCAGCCCGAAGATGTTCCCCAAAATGCCCATACCAACGAGCACAATGTCAAACAAGAACCTCAGCCAGCCAGTGGTGACTTTCCGTGATCAGCTCTCGTGTTTTCTTTGTGCTTCTTTCTTGCTCTTCAAGGCAAACCTCGAACGCCTCTGGTGGCTCAATAACATCATTGAAGACCTGTTAGACCTGTTTGAATCAGTTGTTTGACAGCTTTGTCTCAGTCACCACTGAAAAATATCCCCTTTGAGGCGTCCACCAGCCGTCGTGGAGGTTGGAGCGGCCAAAGGCCAAGAGCCGCATGCAGATCTCGACCAGGTAGATTGAGATAAAGATCCAGTCGACAATCTGTTGGCCGAGGAACTGTCGGCTCTGTGAGTTGGTCGAATCGCTTTGCTGGTCAATCGTGAAGCGGCGAGGAAAATCGTGAAACGGTTCGGCAGATGGTCATATTGGATTTGGGATATCGGGCCCATGCAAACAGCAAACACTGTCAAGGAGGTTGAAACGCCCTCACGGTTCTCTTTCAAGTTGGACCTCCAGCAAACAAACCTGCGGTGTGTTGAGAGCCCCACATACCTCATCACACACACACACACACACGCTAGCTTTGAAGAGGCAGGAAATGCTGGAACCTAAAAAGTAAAGCTTCCAGTTCTCCTATTTTCTAGTCTGTGCTCAACTGGAAATCAAAAAAGATGTTCAGCAGCGATGTTCAGCGGAACGTCTTCAGAACGTGTTCTGGATGCCGACGCACACAACTGACCCGAGCTGGCCATGGGGGTTTGACCCAAGGATTTTAGAAACAAAGTTTTAGCTCTTGCACAGTCTGACAAACTTGTTTGTTGAAACAAACGTCTTCAGACGAAGAGAGATGTTCTCGCTCCTGGCCTCGCCGGGCCAGTCAGGAAGCCAATCGGGGCCAGCACCGGGGATCGACTTCTGCGTTTCGATGCCAATGCAAATGCTATTAATGAAAATGATCACACCTGGGCAGTGGGAGCTTGTCCCGGATTGAGTGGCGTCCGTGACTGAAAGAGGAGTCCTTCTCGTGAAGTGCTGCTTGTTTGTTCTTTCATGAGGGCCCATGACCATTCTTCTTATGGACCCTCCTAATGGAGGGGTCTGGGGTCTCAAATCCCTAGGTTTTGAGGGACCAAGTGCTGTTAGGAGCTTTTGGGCAAGCTTTTAATCCACTCATTCCCGGCCGTTGCCAGATTGGACAGGGCATGGCTTCGTGCTCCAGGAACATGAGCACCACTTTGGTTCTACTAATGGACTCGCTCCGCACAAACGAAAAACTGGGATGCTCGTCCTTCTTCTCCCCTTCTCGTCCTTCGTAGAAGCGCCCAAAGGATCCAAACGCACACGCAACAGAACTGCTGCCAAGAGCACCCATGAACCAATCGAACTGCGGCCGCGTCAGGATCCAGCGACACATCTCCGAGCAGTTCCACCAATTGACCTCTCCGTCAATGTGGTCGAAGGATTCTTTCAAGAGATCCTTGAACTTGGAACCTCAAGAGGGCCGGGTTGGCACGCAGGTTAGGCCGGGTTAGGTCCAAATTTGGCTTAAATGGCACGAACATGCATCTTGCAGTCCTTTTCATCGGTTGGTGATTGGCCATCCGGGGTGGGTGGGATGTTCATGTACAAGGAACTCTCAACACTGGCAGGCAGCTAGCAGACGTTCGTCATTGTCTCCAATTCGTTGGATTCTTCATAGGGATCGGTGGCTCACTTGCAGGGTGTCTGTTGCCCACAGAGACGTTCATGTTTGTCGGTGTCACCAATCTCACCTACACAGTCCGAGTAAACGGTGTCGCACTGTTCTTCTCGGATTGGAAACGACACTTCCTTGGCTTTTGATGAGGCAACCTGTAAACTGTCAAAAACTCATTGGCCAGAACAAGAAGCTACGAACGTAGCTCCTGACCTTAGGAGCGATCGGACGCTACGAACCTAGCTCCTGGCAACGCTACTAGGCACAATTTCGTTTCGGATGACCGATTCACCGTCCGACAACACCGGCGACTCGTCCGACACCGGTCAACACCCGCCACGGCGCCGTTCGCCATCTTCATGAGGAAGCTTCGCCCCGCTCCCCTCGGGACCATGTTGCCAACCTACTTACTCGTAGTAATGCCCCTTGTAGTAAGGCCAGGAGCCCGTACTAGTGCCCTTGCTACTAGATCTACTCGTAGTAATGCCCTAGCTACTAGTAGCGTTCTTGCTACAAGTAGCGATGCACCTTGTTACTAATAGCGATGGCCTCCGGAATGGTCCAAAATGGTCCAAAACGACGCAAGTGAGCCGCACGCACAAATCAACCAACGCGATGAGCCTGAGAAACACTCATCCGACAAATCAACCAACCCCTTGAATTTCCAGGGTCATAAATCAAAGGAGCATAGAAATGGATAGTCAGCCAAACTGATCTTCCACATCGTTCAAAAGGAATACCATGAATCTGCTCCAACCCTGTTGCTTGATACCGACCTAGCTTGAGACACATTGGCACACTAATCTAGGTCTGACACAATCACAACAGTCCTGTTTGTGCCTTGGCAGGAAAGACCAGCAAAGGGGCTGCGGCATGAAAGAGAAGAGCTTGTACTCAACAACCTCTCAATGGTTATCAGCCTGCTGAATGACATCTATTCCCGTTCATCTTGCTTTAAAGCTCTGTTTTTCTTCCGAAATCATCCCCAACCTCCCGAAGAATGAACGAACACGTCAACCGAGCTCTTTGTACCAAACCGACACACCAAATATCCGCTGCACTACGGCTCTTTGGTCCAGCTTAGCTTCTTCCCTTTCCCAATGTGCAGCGGCAAGAAGCTACCAGTAACAAGTGCATTCATTTTTCCCCAAAATCATAAAACTTAGCCTTTCTTCCCTACTAGAGGTCATCGCTACCAGGTTGGAGGCCATCGCTAGGAACAAGAGTACTCTTTGGTTTCCAAAAAGCAGTACCTGAGCGATCGGACGCTAGAAGCGCCGCTTACTTCGTTCCGGGCGTCTTGCGCAGCCGCGCCGAAGTCGTGGTCTGCACCGAGCCGCCGCGCATCACGTCCTGCGCCACGTGTGCCACGTCTGCCAGACATTGCTTACATCTGTTCCTAGTAGCGTCCTTGTTACTACTAGTAAGGCACTTGTTCCTAGTAGCGTCCTTGTTACTAGATGCACTTCTTTCTCATTCGTTCTCTGAAATCTGTTTGAATTGGTTCTTTTTCGATATGGCCAACATAGACTTCGACATCGGGTCTTCAACATGATTGTCTATGCTACTTGAGCGTCGACAGCACCATGTCATTGAAAACACACCATTAACTATCACTTCGACATTAAACATAGGAGCAAAGGGCATCGCTACTAGGAACAAGGACGCTACTCGGGGCCCCTGGCCTTACTAATACGTACCGTGCGTTGTCCCACGGTTTTCAAACTTCCAAATGTTGGTCAATAGAATCAGTTCAGGACCGAATTCTATTTCAAGCACCACTATGGATGACACACGGAGGCATGAACGCAAGAGGCCTAAGCGCATGAATGAACTTGTTCATCAGGGGGTCCCCAGCGAATGAGTTGTTTCGTGTCCACAACTGGGTTAGTGGAGGAACTTTCCCAAGCAATGCAAGCGTCTGGATGATTCCAAGAAGCCTCCAACTGAGGAAACGTAGCCACACACACAACTGAGATCTGAGACTTTACCTCCACAAAGCCTCCATCAAAGTCATCTTCATCTCAAGAAGCTACTAGTAACAAGGGCACTACTACTAGTAGCAAGAAGCTACGAACGTAGCGACGCACTTGTTACTGACACTCCTGTTTTGGGTCCCTCCCTGAGTTCCGTGCCAAGGCTCCATCTCGGACTCTAATTGCTCCTTCAACACGTCCGGGTTGGTCCAGAAGCGCGACGCCACACTGGCCACTGTGGCGCGAGGATTGGTGGAGCTTAGTCCATTCGGCTCCGTGTCGTGGAGCGCTGGCTTCTGATCCAGATCCTCCAGGAAGGTGACGATGGACAGTAGGGAGCGCTCCTGCGGGAGCCGAGAAGAGGCTCCCAGCCGACTCAGTGCCTCCAAGTGCACATGCGAGTTGATATGCCAAGGAAAGGAAACGAGTACCCGGACCAAGTGAAAGCTTCAAAGGTGCTGGTTGTTGAGGGCCTGTCTCAACTCACCTTGGCCATCAAACATTAAATTGAACACATAGGAAAAGAGAACATGGCAAACTCCTCTTGACTTCAAGGTCTTTCCAACAAGCAAATGCTTCTGTTTCCCTCCGGATTCCTGCTGCTCTTGAAGCGCTCGCAAGGATCGTCTCAACTCGTGTGTCTCCATGGCTGTGCGGGCACCGCAGCAGCGCGTTCTTTGGACTAAACACGTCGCGTGATTTGAGCCCAACGGCTACAGCTTTCATTGAGACGGGAGGTAGGTATCTTCAAAAGGGTGTTTCAAAACATCACTTGCACCTTTTGATACACACATGGTCCAATGGTGCACATCTTCCGAAGGAGGTGCATGAATGAAGCCATGGATGTATCGAAGAGTTGCATCTGCAGGCTGCAGACCGTTGTTGACTCGTTCACTCCCTGTGGGTTGTTCCTGGCCTCGTTCCAGTGCTCATGGTCAGAGTGCTCAGACCCCATGGAGGTCTGTCCAGTTCATGTTCCGGAAGAGATGCTTTCATTCAACCAAAGCATTCCAACCTTCACAACAATGCTGAAAGGCAGGAGCACGAGTTGGATGCCCAAAGTCCATCTCCAGCACAGTTAAGTTTCCCAAAACATCTAGGAACCAAATCGTGAGCTATCCTGCGTCCAGTTCCTAGTAGCCTACTAGTAAGGTACTAGCTACCTCAATTTCCTTACTTAATCAAGTAGGCAGCTACTTAATTAAGTAGGGAAGGGGGGGAGCGGGCAAAAAAGACAAAGCAGGGGGGAAGTTCTCAACGAACTGGCAACTCCAAAGTTACTAGTAGCGATGGCCTCCATCCTAATTAGCTTCTTGCTACGAGTAATGAGTTCCAGGTTGCAACATGAACACATGGGGATCTCTCGCTTGCTGGCACTACCCTCTTCCATGAAATGGACGATTCTGCCATTAAGCCGAGGGCCCTGAGTGCACCTATCCCCGATGCGCTGCGACGTGTTTCCCTCACCAGTCGCAAAACCGACAGCGAGAGACAGGAGAACTTCGCTTTCGATGTCTTCGTCTTTCGCTGCATCCTTTTGCGACTTCAACAGAAATGGAGCATCGTTTTGTGTTGCAAAAGTGGTTCATCCACCAATCTGCTATCTGGATCATCCCCAGTGATCTTGGGATATCGACATCATTGACCCTTCTTCCATTAAAACCCATTGATTCTTACACCGATGCATCGTCTCTTCCACGAAGTTCCAAAGCGCCGACGGGAGCCTTCGGAAGCCAAGGGCTCGAAGACATCCCAGGTCACTGTGCAAAATACCGAAGGTCTTTGGATCTGCGCAAAAAAAGGCCTGAATATGCCTAAATGACTTTCACAGGATTGGAACTTCTTTAAGACAAAAAGGCTCTTTGCTACCAGTCTGTCGAATGCTAGGCCAACAATCCCTGCGCTTGGATTCAAAGCCTTCAGTGGTGGCGGTCTGAGCTGGATGGCACTGGACAGAACCGCACATTCGAGGTGTGGAAAATGGTCGTCTGAACCAAATCTGAACCAAAGAATTCTCTTGCTCCTTCTGGCTCCACAAGAGTTTGCACGCTAACATCAATGGGCTTCGGGTATTCAGAGTGAACATAAATGTATTGAGCTCTCATATGCAACGAGTGAATTATTGAATGCAGTTTCCGTAAAAATCCAGGCAACAAACCATCAGTGCATGAGCTATCCTGCGTCCAATATGTAGTAACTCAAGCAGCTAGTACCTTACGTCATTAACTAGGTGCTACTCCAACTAAGTATGGAGCCGGCTAAAGAATAAAAGCCCCTTATTTTCACGCTTTGGTCCAAGTGAGAGCTCCAGGCTCCGGGCTTTGGCGAGTGTCCATCGTCTGGAGAAGTAAATGTTAAGTTTCCCAAACAATCTAGTAACCAAATCACTAGCGCGAGCTCTCCTGCGTCCAGTCGGTCGTAGCTACTTCTAGGTACGAGTTGTGGCCCCCAACGGACCGAGCAGTCACGGGGGTTTGCTCTGTGTTCATTCTCTATTCTATTCTCGAAGTATTCGTTTTCCTATTCTTGGCTGAATGGAATTCTTGAGTGCTGTCCTCCATTCATCGACTTCCATGGCCATTCTCCCACCGGTCTGTCCAGGTTTTGCCCTTCGGGCAAGCAGGGCACTTACAGCAAGCCACGCCCTTGCCCATGGACTTGGAACCATTAACCTGTCTTGGTCCGCAAAAGAGGGGATCCAGCCATGGTCAGAAAGACCTCAGAGATGACACCTGAAAGTACCAAAGTCTCTTCCCTCAGACATCAGGGACTTGCAGGGGGCCCTTGAGTGATGTCATACGAAAAAGCGGTCAACGAGCATGTGACATCCTTTACAGCAAGAGCATGCAAGAACCCTCTACACATCATCCGCCTGTGATAAATTTCATGACAACTGATCTGGACAGCTGCCAATTTGCTGAACAGTCTGATCCTAGCCTCCAAGTTTCATTTATCTTTGGCACAAAAATGCGAAGCTGAGGGGTCTTTCTGGCCCTTCTCTGGGACTTTCCAAAACATCCAGTCCTGAAGAGTTTGGTGGGCCCTCCCGGAACCGCTTTAGAAGATTTCTCCTCCGAACATTGGTCCAACGCCGAATGAAACGCCGACCATTTCGGAGGAGTTGACCAATGTTCGATGGAGAGAGAGGCGCTTCGTCGCAGAATCAGAAGAGTGCTCTCAAAGTGCCACGGAGTCCGAGCCTTAGAGGGAGGGCTTTGAACAGCCACTGGGTCGTTTCAGCAACACCTGCCTGTGCTACCTGAGATGACTTGTCTTTTCTTAAAGAAGGAGCAAGGACGCTATGCTCGGTGGAGGGCAACGAGACAGACGCAACACCAAAGCGACGCTCGCGCGCACCGTGGTGTTGAGGTGTTGCACCGAAGCGACATGGAGATGACGTTGAACCAGCCGCGCACGAAGCCTTCCACGGCGCAGCTGGCGAAGATCGCGGAGACCACCTGAGGTTCGAAGAGCGACGAAGTCTCGCAAGAGCGAGGTTCGGCAGGCACACGGCGTCTTAGGATGTCTTAGGTGTGATTTCTTTCACATCTGCTCAGAGGAAATTTTGGCATCTTTTCGAAGTTCTCACCCTGAATCTACAGGTCATTGATGACCCAAAGGACCAGGACCCCAATCCACCAAAGCCTGTAGATGGCCATCATCCCCCACCACGAGATAGATCAACTAAAGCTCTTCACCCAGAAAGGCAAGAAGCTACTAGGAACAAGTGCATCGCTACTAGTAACAAGTGCCTTACTAGTAGTAACAAGTGCCTTACTACTAGTAACTATTAGTAACAAGTGCCTCGCCCAACCCTCTTTGGGCAACCGAAAGGGAGTGGGAGGAGTCGGGTCTCCCTCGACCGAGTCGGTCCGTCATGGCGCTGCAGGGGCAAAGCCATCGCCTGTGACCTCAGGCGGAGGGCGGAAGATGGAGGGCCAGATGGAATGCCGCAATGCCCTTGTTACTAGTGATGCATTTGGTTTTTTGTAGAGTGGAGAAACTGAAAGAGTCGACTAAAGGATTGGAAAAGCTAGATGCCCCCATGACGCTTGTTCTTAAATCGATGTTCTGATTGTGGACATTGGATTTGATGCTCAACTTCCCGCCACATAAGCACGTGGCTTCATCACGTGGTTTTGCCGCCATGGACTCTGTGATCTCTGGGTGCCCCTGTGAGGATTGCTTCGTCACTCCCAGACGTTGGATCCACAGAACATGAAAAATCCGGTCTTCAAGGCCACTCGTTTTGGTGGAGTCACTGTGATCTCCGCTCCGCGCTTCAGTGGTGGTCCAACTTCTCCCCACCTTCCCTGTTCACGTTCACAGGGCGAAAACGCTCCAATGACACGTTGGTCTTCCTTGAAGGGGGCTCTGTGAGTCGGACGGCCTTCGATCCGAAAAGGAGCGACCCTTCGACCGACGCACCGCCTCGCGCGCCAAGTCACATCTTGCCCTGCGAGGAGAAGACCCTTTGGCCAGTGTGGCACCTGCGAGACACGAGAACTTCACCCGAAGGAAGTTTTGTGTGAAGTTTCGCGTCACTTGGTGCTTGGTTGTTTGAGTGTTTCCTCTTTTGCTTCGGGACGTGTGACAGGTTGACCTTTCCTTTCTGTGGCCGTTCCTACGTGTAGAACTTTCGAAGAAAGCCACAGCCAAACCATCGAAACTCATCAAGAGGACACGCAAGAGCACAACACCAGAGCGTGGTCTGCACGACATGTCCAAGAACCAAATCAAACAAAACAATTTACCAGCTGCACAAACTTAGGATGGCCCCTAGTCGCTACACCTGTTCAATGGGGGCACGTTGGATGGTCATTCGTTCCATCAATCTCAATCCCGACCATCTCATAGCTCAAAGCCCTACCACTCAACACTTGCGTTTGTCTCTGAACTATATAGGCATGAAGTATGCCAACCGCCCAACGTGGAATAGTTGTTTTTCCTCAAAGTCTAGGAACCACATGAATAGTGCGAGCGCTTGAGCGCTTCCCTTAGCAGGTTACCTGGTTACCTAGTAGTTTGTTTAGCCCTTACTGAATTCAGTAGGCGCCTATTTACTTAAGTAAGGGGGCAACGGGCCCAGTCGAATGTCCGCCCAGCCAGGCCTTGGGCTTGGCGAAGAGCCAAGTTAAATCCGCGTTGGTCTTCTCCAAGGTCTGCTGCAAGCCATAACTCTCGCCCTGTGTCCTTGGAGATGTGAGTAGAGTGAGTAGAGTGGAGGTGTTTACTCGATAGCTGCCCTAAGTCTAACCACAGAAACATATATTCACGTCTTCACTTTCTCCAAGATGCTTGCCCAAGTAGAAGTTGGTGTCTAAGGGCGTTCCCATGTTCACATATTCCACTCGGCCCTTCGTCTGGGGATACCTGAGCGCGCTCAGGAAACTTCCGCATCGCTTTCGCTTTCGCCAGGTGACACCGGCAACAAACGCCGGGGCACCGTTTCACGGTGCCACAAACGGCGAGACTCATGGCCTCCAACCTACTACTTAGGTTTTGGGACTAGTCAGGTGATTACCCTCGAAAGATGGTGACACTTTTACTGGTCTTGATCACGTTGTCACACAATCCGTCGGCTCTTGTTGAAAGTCTTTTTCTAGCTACTAGTAGCATCCTTGCTACTAGTAGCGATGCCCTTGTTACTAGTAGCTTCTTGTTCTTAGTAGTGATGCACTTAGCTACTAGTAGCATTCCCTTGTTGAAAGCCTTCGAAGGACGACACGGAACTTCGACCAGCGGGTGAGGGCACTGGGTGTAGAGGATGTCCAGCAAACGCTCCTCGAAGCTCTTCTTAAAGGCTTCGTAGTCCTGCGGATGAAAACCGTTGGGGCACCGACCGATCTATTTGGAGCTCATGGTATTCAGGTGTGAAGGAAACTAGCTGTCTGCACAGCAAGGGCAAGTCCTTCTCACAGCCCCAAACGAAAAAGACATCAAACATGACAAAACAACTTTTCAAAGGAAGTTTAGAGGAACTTCCGTGCTACGAACATTTACATTAGCTGTAATTCTAGCAAAATTGTTCTACCACTGATCTCTAGCTCTAGTTCATTGTTCTACCATTGATCTCTAGAGGAGCTAGAGCTAGAGCTATGCTTCACTCATCACTCATCACTCATGCGTCTGACTGAGGGACACGAGGGACACGCATGGTGGAAAGAACCGGGACACTCCAAGAAGGTCAATTTGTTCTTTTTTTGGACACTTCCGCCTCACCATTTCGCCCGGGAACTACGGTCTTCACACTTTTGAAATCCGCACATCGTGTCATCCCATACCCAGCGGCCGCTTGATCCCGCACGGTCGCCTTCTTTCACCCCCCCATGGGACGGGGGACCGGGCCTGGCCGCGGTGTCGAACTTTGGTGCTCTGCCACTTCTCGAACCAATCCCAGGGCACATCACCTGACAAGGAAGATGGGAACATCACCTCACCAAGCAAAGGACGTGGCCATGATTTCTTCGGAAGGGGAAAGGAAGGTGGAAGTATATCGTGTTTTTTCAGCAACAGTTCTTTTCTGCAAACAACATCCTTTTGAAAAACACTCCTATTGGTCTCTCCGGGCGTGGGCATGTGTGACGCCCCAATGGGAGACCTGGCCATCTTGGCCGTCTTCCACTTCAGGAATCAACAAAACCTATTGAGTCAAATGATCGAGCAAAACCGGCACAAAAACGGAATTCCCTATGGTAACTCTTTTGGTTCTTCGCATAGCTTTACAGCGTCCCGGATGCCTGTGTCATTTTTTCAGACTTTCTCTTAAAAACACAAAAGTGAACTACACATGTAGAGAGGGAGACAAACAAAAATAGATAGAGAGACCACTAATGCAAAGTCCATATCAGTTGAAAAAGACACCTGTCCTGTCTCCTGTCCGTCAGGTCCCACCTGCAACCACTGCGCAGGTGCATCGATCCGGGTTGCGCTCATGGTAGGAGGGGTCCTGCGGAAAGGGTGCACCTTTTCGACCTCACTCGGTGAAAAGAAAACACACCAACGTCGGTCTCCCCCCTTTGGCTTAAAACTAGACTCAGTAGACACTCGATGAAGCGCCAAAACACTCAAAGAAAGAGTCTCAAATCCGCTTTTCGAGTGATCCAACTAGTTTATTCCTTGGACACTTCCAAGCAGTCTCCGCTTGCCAGCCCCCCGCACATGGCCCGGGTTTCACTCCTTTGAAAATCATCGCGACAGAACTACAGTATCCGAAATGGTGGGATCCCTTCAAACAATTGACAAATTCTACACGCCGCTCCCTCACCAGCTCTACAAGTACCTGCAAGAACAAACGAAGCACGGAAAAGATCCTCAGCTGACACGAAGAAAACCCTAAAGAAACCAACGAAAGGTACAAAAACATTCAAGAAACATTACGTTTTGAGACGCCCCAACACTGTATTTTTAAATATGTCACCATGATGTCACTGATTCGGAAGATGTCGACTGGAGCCGCTTCGGTCCTTGGCGCTAGGAAAGGCCAAGCCCACATAGCCGAAGGGCGCCTCGTGGTCCGCGTGGAACTCCGCCATGCGCCGTGACAGGTCCTCTTCGACGAAGGCGAAGGCGAGTTCCGTGAAAACGGAGCGATGGACATACTGCTGTTAAAATGATTCTTTTAACAAAGCTGAAAGCCGGAGTGACATTTCTGCTCTGTAACATGCTAGAGCTGCTCAGTCACCATCTCCCATATGCATACTCACCCTCGAAGCTCTGCACATCTCCTACCCAGGCCCCCCAACTCTGCCTCACCGGGCAGCACCCACAGGTTGTTGCTGGGCAAGTTGAGCTCCGCGGCGCTTCCTCGCGCGCGGATGGGGGCTACGGTGAAGCCATGGCAAGCAACATCCTAAGTGGCCAAGAAGACCAGAGACCAGGACAAAAGACGAAGGATCAACGGGGACCAAGGGGATCAGGGACCAAAGGACTTAAGGAGTTGGACGCCAATTGAGTTGCTTTTTGCACCACCCGGCAGGGTTCGGGTAGTTAGACCTACCCCATCGTAACCTCTCCTGCTGCAGCGCACGCTGCAGCAGCCAGGACAGTGACAAACACAACAGCAAACAGCAAAACATGACACCAGCAACACACACACACAATGACAACACTAAGCACAAGCGCTAACAACAACTACACATACGACAAACGAGAAGTAATGACGCATACAACGTGCAGTGACAACACCAAACATATCCCGCCAGTTGCCCGACCCAACGCACAGTACCTGACAGAACGACAAACACCCCGACAAACGGCAAACAACGCTGCACACAACGACACAAAACGAAAGATTATCACAACACGTGTAGTACATGACAACGCACCAGGAGTTTGTCCTCGACAGCAATGAGACACCGCCATGAGACACAGAACAACAACACCAAACGTTCTTCCGCAACACACTGTGGTCCAGGGATGCCTCGCCAGTCACCCCGGAAGCAGTTATCCAACCACTGGGCAGCTCGGGATAGCTCGAGGTTGAAGTAATTCTTGATAGAAATCATTGTCTTTATTTTGATAGAGGTCTATTACTTGTTTATAGGTATCTGTGAAACTCGGATGACCGTTGATCCCAATCCCGCACCGGATGACCGGCTCGAAACGTCGGCGCCAATTCAACAGTATCACATGTTTCCATTGCTGTGCTCCAAGTCGTGCTCCAACGAGGCCAACACTCCGATCCAGATCACCACTGCCCAACACTACACTGGCCAGAAGAAAGTTGCGCTTCTTGATGTTGAAACTCATGACAACCCTATCCCCCTAGAATCCTACACCATGAGACAAGGGAAGGTGTGGGCGGTCATTTGTCACCCCGG